AGCTGGTCAGTAAGATCAGCCTGTAGGTTTTGTTGCAGTTCGAGGATGTCAGCGCACTCATGGAGAGAGGTGTCCTTTGTTCCTCCGGATTATCATCAGGCATAAGGGTGGCTGGGTTTAAAGCTGAAGAAGTCTTGAATATCATTAACTCTGGGTCTAGAAGCAGGGCTTGACAGTAGAATTCTGGCATTTGAGAGCCTTTTCTTTAGGAGGGGTTTTGATAAGAGTCTCTAAACTGTGAGAGGTTACCACAGAAATCACTTGCCCAAAGCAAGTTTTTTTGTCTCCTTAAGTAACATTGTCACAGTAGCTAGTATTCTTAGGCAGGGGGCCATACTCCTGTCACTGGATCAAGTCTTTTGGAGAGGTAGGCCTCTTTCAAGGGCCAATGTCCTGAGTTAGGACTCTTTTGGCAATGTCCCTGAGTTTATCTATGAACAAGATGAAAGGCTTGGTAACGTCAGGGAGTCCCAGGGCTGGGGCCTCTGTCAAGGCCCGCTTGAGCTGTTGGAAGGCCTGTTTACATTTATCAGTCCAGTTCAGCGAATTTTGAGTTTCTCCCTTATGGGAGTCAGTCATATAGAGGCAAGCTTTTCAGTAAAATTTAGCCTACAGTATCCAACTGCCCCCAGAAACTCTCGTCTGTTTTTTAAAAGTTTTTTTCTCATAGAGCAATTTTAACATCTTGGCTATCTTTTTGTAAATTTTTTAGTTCTCAAAGACCTTTTTGTGCTATCTCTATTAACTGGCTGAGGGGCATTTCCTTAAACCTCTCAAACCTTTGTAATTTTTGTCTAACATGTGGGGCCGACTGAGTTACAAAGAGAACAACTGGCAATATTGGGAAACCTCCTTACCTCTGGATGTCCAGTCAGGGTGGCACAAAAGGAGAACATGGTTTTGGCATTCCGGATCAGAGAGCCGGCTTCATCTGGATGGCACACTGTTTTTTGTCCAAGGGTGTCACGTGACAGGCCATTATTTTATTAAAATTATATTTTTAACAAAAAGGGCTTTTTCATAGGTAACAAAATTGTGCTGTATAATCTCCCAGATGTTCACAGCATATGTAAGAACTTGTATCTTATTTTTAATATCACCTATAATCTCATTTTAATGAAAACATTTTGCAGCAAAGTACAATCTTATGTATACTTTTACCAAAACTGATCTAATACTGTCAAATTCTGAACACATTTACTTTTTGTCAAACCTGTTATTTGTAGTACTATAAACCAAGACAAATAAAATTCACATCCTCTTGAGCCTTTTACAACTTACAATAATACCTCTCAAACTAAGCTTTAATCTTTTTTTACATTCTGGCATAGCCAGACACCTTTACTTGAAGACCACTCTCTTTGTCCCTCTTTTTATTATTACCAGTCAATTACCTTTTTTTTCATTTTTCAGACAACATCAAAACTCTCAACAAAACCCTTGAAGTCACCTTCTAGTAGTCCAAAACATACTTATTTTATGTCTTTTTACCACATAAAAATGTTGTATTTTAAAAACAAAACTGTAACCTTTTAACTGGCTCAAATATAGTACCGCCTGGTTTTTACTTGGCAAAGTTGACATGACTCTTAACAACCATAGATATACATATATATGTGTACATGTTTATATTTTCATCAGAGAGAAAAAAATACTCCTTTTAAAAGGCATGCTGAGGTTGCAAGCAATCAATTGAAGTCTTACATATTAAACAAGGTGCCACAACATTAAAGACACAAACAAAGGGAGCTTCTTGCATAGTTTGGTCAGCTAAAGGAAATAATTTTTCTTATCATGAACCTTGAATCTAATAAGCCATATGGATCCTGTAACAGAAATGGGCAACAAGCCCCTAAGTTAGTAACAAGTTTAAACAGGCAACCAAGGAGAGGGCGGAGGAAGGAAGGGTTTTACCCACGGTGGGGGCTCCTCCCTGAGGTCCTGCCATTCCAAGATGTAGGTGACCCAGTCGGGGTGGCTCTCTCGTCCAGGGCGGAAGATGATGTTCTTAACTGCTAAGATGAGGGGAAGGTGGAAAGTCCCCTCCGGTGGCCAATCCACGGAGAATGTGGGCCACTCAGATGAGCAGAAAGTCTGCCATTTACTTTTTTTAACCTGAAAGGAGAGATTGTGAGCCCTCTCTCGAACCTCCGACCAATGGTCGAGGGTGAGGGACAATGGGGACGATGTCATTTGTTCCATGGTGTTCTGAAGACAAAGAGTGGTTAGCGTACGCGCGACACAACAAATAACCGATCACAACAGTCACAACACACAGGACAAACAGGCCGGCCACCTCACTCTCACGCATTAGTTTCACATCAAACGAGTCACCTTAGGGGGTGCCTCCAGATTGGCCCAGACGGACCACAGATTGGGAATGAAATTCCCCAGATTGGCCCAGATGGACCACAGATTGGGAATGAAATTCCCCAGATTGGCCCAGAAGGACCACAGATTGGGAATGAAATTCCCCAGATTGGCCCAGAAGGACCACAGATTGGGAATGAAATTCCCCAGATCGATAGGAAAATCCTATCGCAGACGGTGAGTCACGGAAAACCGTGTGGGGCGTCCCCCGATCACTCAAGAACAGAATTTGCCCGTGAAGTAGAGCCGGAGTTTGGCCTGGGGCGAAAGGAAATGGCGGATCGATCCAAAATGAAAGTAAACAAAAACTGGCCGTACTACTTACCCCAGAGAGGTGCCGTTGGGGTCTCCCTCTGCGAGGAGGTCTCTTCTCAGTTTGATCTCGCTAGGGCCTCCAAAATGTTAGACCGGTGTCGCGAGGAAGACTCCAAGGGCCTCGCTCTCATGTAAAAACAATGGGGTTTTTATTATTCCGTGTACACGGGGTCCTCCAAACAGGTGGAAACGGAGAACCCTGAGTTGGGGCAAGGCTGGTGTTTTTAAGGATGAAAACCGCAAAGCAAGCAAGCATTGTTACAGAAGCCAATCATAGCAGTTAGAGCAGAACAGTTGGTGATTTGTCCATTTGTGATTGGTCAGATCATGAGGGGCGACCAGTGGGTCAGAGTTGATTAACTGTCTTGTTTTGCACAGCTTATTTTTAGGTCACCTAGCTCCTGTGTGGCTTGGTTCTGACATACTTCCCAATCTTGATTAGCATAGTCAGCAGACTTTATCTCTGAGTTTCCTGACATAATTACCTTACTTTAGCACCACAACCTTTTTATTTGTAGAGGGCAACAATGGTTAACATATCAATTGGGTAAGATTTTACAATTTTTTTACAGATGAGAGCATTGATTAACATATCAATCTTTTACCCAGGGGAAAAGGAAGACACACATTTACAGTTACAGGTATTACTATGATATAAACGAAGCTATTTCTGTGAAGAATGTACAATCTAATACAATCTGATGCAATTAACACAATTTGTGACGGGGCTACCAGATAGGGAAGACCCAGGATGTCAGGAGCTAGTACCTCAGGCCTTTGTTTTATGGCCTTTAGGAAGTTAAAACTTAACCTAGTTGGATTTGAAGGGAGAAGGGGAGGGGAAGCAGCAGATGGAACGAGCTTTCTTCGTCTCTTCAGTATGAGAATGCATATCACACACAGACAGTGCGCTCTTCTGATGAGCTTTCTGGCAGTGGGAGCTGTGCTTTATCATCTTTATGTTCCCACAGTCTGGCCGTGTCTGGCTTGGAGCAGGCAGGAGCTCTGTCAATTTATCAGCATTAGGACACGGCGTCTCTGGGCCCGCCACTGCATCTGTTAGCTCACTTCATTCTCCCAGGGCCATAGGAGGTCATGGAATTCTCATCCTCCTCAGTCTTCGGAGGAGAAAATGAGGTTGGCAGAGAGGTGGGGTCACCTGCTGGAAGTCACAGAGTGTGATCTGGGGCGTGGCCGCCAGGGTCTCATGCTGACACAGGCACAGTGATGCCGAGGAAGTCCTGGGAACCACGGTGTGTGTGTTGGTGACCCTTGGGGGAGGACAGGAAGTGGCCAGGCCTCTGGCATGTGAAGGGAAGAAATCTGTTTTTAAAAAAATCAAATCAATGAACTCAAATAAAACCAAGCAGCTGTGTTGACATTAACATCAAAACAGAAGCCCAGGGCCAGGCATGGTGGTGCACAACTGCAATCCCAGCACTCAGGAGACTGAGGCAGAAGGATCACTGTGAGTTCACCCCCCGCCTGGGCTACATAGTGAGACCCTGCCTCCAAAAAACCGAAAAGCAGAAACCCAGCCGGGGTCCGTCTGACACGCCTGTCCGCTGACCTCCATGACCTGAAGCTGGATGAGCACATAGCAGGCCTCACATTCTCCCTCTGTGACAAAGTCACCAAGCCCTGGAGCGCTGGAGTCCCAGACAGACTTGTCTGGGTGCTACCGTTTAATCAAAATTTTAAAAAGCACCCCAGGAAACCAGGAAGTAACACTGCTTTCTGAGGAAACAACTCATGGAAAGTTTTCTAAAATAAGCAGGGCAGCTCCAGCTGCAGCAGCAGGATTTATGACGTCTCTCTCCTGCTGCAGCTGTGTGCACATTGTTTAGTGTCACAGAATAGTACTGTAAGCTTTCAGGGTATGGAAACTGCATAAGGATTTCGGTAGCCACAGAATGAGAACAAAGCTAAGCGAGGTGGCACTGGTCATCCCAGCACTCTGAGAGGCTGAGGCAGGAGGGTCATCAGCTGACGTCCAGACGGGGCAGTTTAACAACTTAATGAGACCTTGTTTCAAAAATAAGTAAATAAATTTGGAAAGCAGTCAGCGTCTGGGAATGTAGCTTACAGTGAAGGTTCTGGATTCATTCCCCAGGACTGAAAGAGAGAGAGAGAAAAAGAGAGAGAGAGAGAGAGAGAGAGAGAGCGTGCTAAATGCTTTCATAGAGCCGGCCTATTTCCCAAATAAGTGCAGAAAAGTGGACACAAATGACAGCGGGGGTACGGGAACTGGGGGAGCAGGGGACGCGGGGAGGGAGGGGCTGGCGCTGGACGCTGGGCTTGATTTCAGGTCTGCGGTTTGCACACTCTGCATGTCCTGCAGGACACACTGCTTAGGCCCTGCCAGGCCTGTCTGGACAGGAGAGACTGCCCTGGACACAAGAGCCTGAGCCCAGGACCCTGGAGCCATGGGGAGCGGCGCGACGCTGAGGGGTGCAGCGGGGTGCATGAAGGAGCTGGCTGCTGACCCCCAGGGCTGGAAAGGGTAGGAGCAGGGGCTGCCCAGGAGGCTGTTGGCATCCTGTTCCCTTTGCCCCAATCCCTTTAACTCTCCCGCTTTTCACGGCATTGTGTATATTTTCCTAAGTATGGCAGATGCTTTATGAAACGAAGTAGGATTGTAAATATAGACAACAATACGCAGTATATTAATTATTGCAACTCTCCTACTAATCTGTTTTGATACGCTGTTTTATTGATATTTGCATTTTTTTCTAAAAAGTGAATCAGTTCAAAAGGCTCACCACAGACCTACCACATGACCCAGGAATTCACTTCCAGGTAGAAATGAAAGCAAGGACATTGGCCAGATGTAGTGGTGGCACATGCCCATAACCCCAATAATCAGAAGGCTGAGGCAGGAGGATCACCAGGAGTTCAAGGCCAACATGGGCTCAGTAGTGAAGTCAAGGCCATCTTAGACTGTATAGTGAGATCCTGTTTCAACAAACCAGAAAAGAAATAAAGTAGGGGCTCTGAGGCTGCTATTCGCAGCTCTGATAGCAGCATTATTCACAATAGCCCAAAATTAAAATAACCCACATGTCTATCTACAGAGGACTGGATAAAAGGAATATGGGATATCCAGATGAAGTATATTACTCAGCCAAACAAAGGAGTCAAAATGTGATGGGGGCGGGCTTGAAAGCATGGACAAAGCTTGAAAACATGCTTAGTGAAATAATCTAGTCACTACAGAATGAATATTGTATGATTTCACACACGAGGTGCCTAGAATAGACCAATTCACAGAAAGAATTTGGCTGTGGTGGTGTATGCCTGTGATCCCAGCACTTGGGAGGCCCAGGCCAGCCTGGGCCACATAGCAAGACCCAAGAATTCCAGGTGACAGTTTGGAGCGCATGGGGGCCGTGGGGTGGGGATTCTTTTCTGTTTTGTTTTCTGTCCCCAGCGTGAGGAACCGTGGGCCACGCAGCAGACACACAATCAGTATGCCCGGACCGCGTGACCGGTGTTGTCCTATCCGGTCCTATGAGCAGGACTGTGAGAGATGTTCTTCTCCCTTCTGTTCAGAGAAGAAAACAGCAACAGTCCAGCAAAACTAGGTAATTTCCTCAAGGACCTGGGGTTAAGCCAGGCTGTTTGGCTCTACGTCTGGGAGTAAGTGCATTGTAAATCCTCTTATTTTTCAGCCCTGAAGAAGATCCGCTCGGCATACACTGGAAGCTCCATGTGGCTGCTGCTTTCTCCACTGTGTGTTCACCCTGCGGCCCATTTTTCTCCCTTCCCTGTTTTCACTTCCTTTGCTCTCAGCACCCGGTTCCTGCTCCACCTTGAGGGCCTGGGAAGAATTCCTCCTCCCCTCCCTCTCTCCCCCTTCTCCTCCTCCCCGGGAGGTGCTCTGACAAATATGCCCACTGTCCTCACCATTTCCAGGGGTACTGTTGTTCCTCGAATGGAGTTCAGGCCTCTTTTGGGCTGGACCATGGTGCAGCGGGTATTTAAGGCTCTACTGAGCTGGGCAGAATTCCCACTGTCATAGTCCTTCTTATCAGTAGGTAATCAGAAGCCCTTGGTCAAACATCCCTCTGTGTCAGTCAGTAATGAGACACAGTGGTGTCGTAACCTCCTGACTATGGTGCGTAACATACAGCCCTGGGTTTGTGCTGTTCCTGTCAAAGACACATAGCTCATTAGCAAGCAAGGAGTCAAACCCACACTGAGGCACATCCATCTACTCCATCAGGATGGCAAGGTCACGAACAACCAGGAAACCTGGAAAGATTTTCTAGCTAAAAGGAGCCTGAGGGCCATAGTGACTAGTACCACCTGTGCTCTCAGTTTGGGTGCTGGACCTGCAAAAACATATGTGGTATATCAAGTATCGTGTAGGTTCAGTCCATGGTTCCATGGCAGTATTGAATCAGTGTCAGTTTCCTAGTCATCGTGGTCATTGTATTTGGGAAATGTCCTTGTATTTGGGAAAGGCACAGTTAAATGTCCAATGGGAAGAAACCCCTCTGCCTTTGAATGCAGGAGTGCAGGGTAAGAGAATGGGCTTGGAGATCCAGTTCCCCTGGACTAGTCCCCAAGGCCAAGTCAGTTTCCTCCTGTGTGATGTAGGGCTAGCAGTACACCTGCACCCAAGGGGGGGGGTGCTGATGAGATGCTGTCAGAAGGAACCTAAGCTGGTGTCCAGCAGAAGTGAGCCCTCCATGAATGCTTACTAGCTTGGTGGCCTATGCGTGACTCAAGGGGACGCACAACATCCACTGGATGAAATGTTGGCCTTAGGGCTGGGGATTTAGCTCAGCGGCATAAGCGCTTGCCTTGCAAGTGTGCAGTCATGAGTTCAATCCCCAGTACTGGAAAAAATAAAGAAAAGAAAAAGAATTGCTGGCCTTGCAGTGTTGAGACCTGTGGTGGATTGAAATCAGTGGTCAACTTAAACACCCGCGGAACTAAATCAGCGTGGTGCTGAGTGCAGATAGATGGTCCACCTGAAGACTGCTGCCAGCATTAAAAGGAGAATCAGAGAGGAAGAATATTGTTGTTTGGAGCTGGTTCTCCTGGAGGAACTTGTCACGCTGGCTTCCCTAACATGAATTCGGCAGTTACCACTGGAGGAGCTCAGGACCTTGTTGCTGAGAATGGCTGCAGTTCACTTTGGGAGAGCTCTGGCCCTTACTTTGAGCATCACTTCCTGGCTGCTCCAGGGTAGAACCCTCAACCTACTGACACAGCTCCTTTACCCCACTGGTACAGACTTTCTGGCTTCTACAGCTGACCTTGGGGCCTTCCCAGTGCAGATCTGTGAAGCAGACTTGCATGAGTCATTGTCATGGGCTCCAGGCCTCCAGTTGGACTTGTGGGAGGCGCTATCACGGGCTCTGGGTCTTCGTCTGGACGCATGCAGGTTGCCGTGGGATGCAGGCCCTGGATGGATTCTCTAGGTCTTTGGTGTTATGGACAGAATACCTGCACTCTCTTTATATCTGACTCCTTAGGTGACCATTGTAAATAATACTGTAAATTATGTGTTTTGTGTTGTCTTGTTTTCCTGTTGATCCCTTGGGAAAATGTCACTGTGGTCATGAGGACTGCCATCTTTGGGGACAACCCCTGGCCATCAGATCCTAAGTCCACATGGAAAATGTAAAGGAAAGCTCCAGCTCTGACGTTTGCATCATTGTCTGGGCCTCTCGCTCCTGAGGCTTCTGTTTCTTCCTAACTGCCTGTGGCTTGATTGAATTTTATATTTTATGTGGTATTTGTTTTGGTATTTGCTTGGTGGTGATGTTATTTTTCCCTCTGTTTACTTGTTTTTTGAGACAGGCTCTCACTATAAGCTGGTGTTGAACTAGAGGGAATCTTCCTGCCTCAGCCTCCCAAGTGCTGGGATTAGAGATGTGCTCTATCATGCCCGGTTTATGTTTTAAAGGAACAGTCAATAAGGAAGGGAAACACAAAGTTTTTTTTTTAATCCAGTCAAATATTCTTAAAATTCTTACAGGCATAAATTGATATTCATTTAAGGCCAGCCCAGCCCAAGGAGAACCTCCTCTCCCCAGCAAAGCTGTGTTTTATCTGGAGCTCTCATCTGACACCACATGTGTCATAGGCTACCTCTGTACAAGGTTCTCCCACTCTAGATGTCTCCTTAAGGACAGGGATGGACAAGAATGGAGGCCTTTATGTTTCTTTGTGCCTCCCCTTGGATTCAAGTAGATTAATTCAGTGGGAATAAAACAGATTTTGCTCCTTGAAAAGCAGCAACTTTAACCTCTGGAGGCCCAGCTGAGTGTCACACTCTCCTTGGAGGGCCTGAATAGTTGATTGCTGCTGGAAACTATTACAAGGTGTTTGTGTTTTCACAGTGCACAGTGTTGTTGGGAAAGGCTGCAGAGGAGGAGGACTGCATGTTGGAAGGCAAGAAGACAGGCCAGGGAGTCCATTCTCCTTAAAAAGTTGTGGTCCTCAAGTCCTTTCAGGAAGGAGCAAAAGACAGCATAAGAACATCTTTAGCAACTTAGTGGGAGTCATCTAGAGTTATCCTAGCCAGATATGGTGGCACACGCCTGTAATTCCAGTTGCTTGGGAGGCTGAGACAGGAGTACTGCAAGTTCCAGGCCAAATGTATTTTATATTTTGGGCAGGGCATGATGGTACATGCCTTAATCCCAGCACTTGGGAGACAGAGGCAGGAAGATTAACCTGAGTTTGAGGCCAGCCTGGCTTACATAGAAAGTGCAAGGCCTGAACTACGAAGCAAGACCCTGTCACAAAAACAAAAACAAGCAAAATGCAACTCAGCACTTACTGTTTTCAATCTCTAATACAAAAGGTAATAATGATAATTCTTGGGCAGGGGATGTAGTGCGCTGTGTGGTAGAATTTGTACTTAGCATACATGAGGCCCTGAGTCCGAGTTTTAGCACCAAAATAATAATAATAATAGAAAAGAAGACGAGAATGATCTTCAAACTTTATGACTTATTTCCTACTTGCATTTCTTTTTTCTTTCTTTTCGGTGTTTTTGCTGGACATGGTAGTACATACCTGTAATCCCAGGACTCAGGAAGCTGAGGCAAGAAGATTGTTTTGAGTTGTTCAAGGCCAGCCTAAATTCTATGTCAAAACTCTATGTCAAGGGGCTGGGGATTTAGCTCAGTGGTATAAGCACCTGCCTGGCAAGCACAAGGTCATGAGTTCGATCTCCAGTACCAAACAAACAAACACCCCCATATCAAAAAGACAAAAACGAAAACAAAACAAAATAACAATGCAAAGCAAAGCATTTGCATAAAGCAAAAGCAAGTAATTTCAGCCAGGCATCATGATAATCCCAGCATTTGGGAGGCTGAGGTAACAGGATGTCCATGAGTTCAAGAACAGCTTGATCTATATAGTGAGTTCAAGACCTAGCTCAACTCACTTTGTAGCGAGTCCTTGTCTCAAAAAAAAAAAAAAAGTTTGCAAATACAGACAATGCAAATTTTAAGGAGGGCCCCACCTCTGCCTCCAGGGTTTGGGCTTCCTGGGCCAAACTGCAGCCCACCTGTGAAGAACACCTGTGGGGCTGCCTGCCTCTGCCCGGCCCCCAGGGTCTCTCCTTCTATAGTCTCAAGCCCAGGTAGCTACACTTCTCTGGGAACTTGGTGAACACTGTGAACCTAAGGACAACCCACTAAGACTCATCTTGAGAAATCTGAGATGGAAAGTTTGGCCTCATTGCAATAACTTTTGGGACAACATACTTTGTAGCAAAGCTAGCCTCACTGTGAGCCTGGCCTCAGACTGACCCTCCTGCCCCAGCCCCTGAGCATTTGGATTATAGGCATGCACCATCATGCCTGGCTCATTGCAACATTTTCAAACAAGGGGACAGGGTGTGTTTCTCCGCTGTACAGTGAGTGCTTGTAATTCCACACTCTGAGAGGCTGAGGCAGGAGGATCACAAATTCAAACACAGCCTGGGCAATTTAGCAAGATCCTGGTTCAAGATACAAACAAATAAATATCTTGTTTAATCTTGTCCATGATCTAGTAACACAGATACTATTCATAGGCCCATTCTAAAGATGAGAAAACCAAGCCTGGACTGGTTATCTGGCCCGACCCATACAGCAACTGGGTAGCGAAGCTAAGATTTGAAGCCTGGTCCATCTGAAACCAGAGAGGAAAGAAAACTTCAGCAGTGTGGCTGCAAGTGCCAGGCCCAGCGGAACACGAAAACGCTGAACGTCAGAACAGGATCAGGCACTTCTGAAAATGTTCTAAGGGGTGTGGATCAGCGTGGTTATGGAGACCAGAGTCCTAAACACACCGCCTACACAAGCTCTCCCTCCGGCACTTCACCAGGAACGGGAAGAGACCCAAACCAGGGCAGGCTGGAAGCTTGGTGAGTATTCACTCTCTGCTGTTTCAGAAAAGGAAGCAGAGGTCTGGGAGATTAAGGGAAACCCGCTGTGAGCGTCCAGAAAGCGGCCATCCTCTCACTCAGCAAACCTGCGTCATGATGTTTGCAGCTGAACCCTGGACTCGATTCCTTGAGGTCCACCACATGTGTTAGTAACACTGGGATGCTAAACCCGTGTAGGAGATGAGTCAGTTGTACGTGAGTCATCTCATGTTACGAATGAGGTTCTCTTCCAACTACCGGTTCTGCCCCGATCGGTTGCTTTCGGTCTTATTCCAGACACCTCCTAGGTGTTGCTATCACCTCCCTTCTGTGAACTAAAGGCGGCCGGTTTAGACTTGGTGTTCAGCAGGGCTACAGCACGCATCAGCCACCGCCTTCCTACCCTCCTCCTCTGTGCGGCGGCTTTGTCCTCTAGGCCCCTAGGGGGCAGCAATGAGCCGCATGCGCATTCTCGGGGGCTGACCCTTGTGCCTTTCCCAGACTTTCTTGAGAAAATAAAATACCCCGAGGAGGCCAGAAAAAAAGCAGATGCTACACATGCTTTTCTCGCTAGGTTGAAATGGGATCTAGAATTCTCCATGAGACAACATGCCAGCAGAAACAGACTCTGAATTCAAACAGACACGAATTCAGAGTCAAACAAGTGTTTGAAAACCACCTCCTATTCTTGTGACCCTAATAAGCTATTTTAATTCATCAAGTCTAAGCTTCTTGTTTTTTTTTTTTTTTTTTTTTTTTTTTGTCTTTTTCGTTTTTTTTATCGGTACCAGGGATCAAACTCACGACTGTCTGCTTGCAAGGCAGGCGCTTATGCCGCTGAGCTAAATCCCCAGCCCCTAAGCTTCTTGTTCTATGTAACAGAATACCCAACATTTGGCAGGCTGAGGCAGGAAGAACATTGCAAGTTCGAGACCAGCCTGGGCTACAAAAGTGAGCTCAAGGCCAATGTGAACTGCATAGTGAGACCTTGTCTCAAAAAGACTATATATATATCTCAGAATAGTACCAACTTAACAGATTGTGAGACTTCCGTTGTAAATGGTAAAAAAATTAGCAGCTATTATCATTTCACCTATTTCTGCTGCGCTCTATAAAGACACAATCATTAAGTCTGCAGGGGAAGCGAGATCCTACTTTCCATAAGTAGTTAAAGCTTCCTAAACTGGCATTTATTCGGCCCACTCTCTTCTGGGCTCTGGCATAGGATGACATTTCACATGCTGGGAACCAGTCATATCTATAACAGAGAGCCCATCACGGTGCACGGAAGGCTACTTGTTGGCTGCCTCCTTGTTCTGATATAAATCTGAAAAGGTTTCGGGGCTGGGGATTTAGCTCAGCGGCGTAAGCGCCTGCCTTGAAAGCAGGCAGTCGTGAGTTCGATCCCTAGCACCGATAAAAACAAAAAAGACAAAAAAAAAAAAAAAAAAAAAATCTGAAAAGGTTTCCAAAAGACTCACGTCCAGAGTGAAGGTGGAAGGTGATTGGGTGGTGAATAAATTCACTGATGACTCTACAGCCAATGCACTGTTAGGAGGCGGGGACAGGGGAGGGGAGGGAAAGCAGGTCCCTGGGGCGGGGCCTGGAAGGACGCCCTTCCTTCCCTGGCTCCATTCTCTCTGTTTCCTGCTCTTCGTGATGTGAGCAGCTTTCCTCTGCTCCACCCTCCTGCCTGGCCTCTCTGCTGTGCTGTTTCTGCCTTGGAGCTGGCTGATCATGTACTGAGATCTTGAGCCAAAATATACTGCTCCTCCTTTAAGGTGCAAGAGCCTGGTTTTTGTCCCAGGGATGAAGAAAGTGACTAAGACGCTTCATGAAAGCAAACTCATCCTCCAATGTTGGCCCCAGCTGCTGGGAGCCTCTTCATATTAGAAAGGTCACTGGATTCGTTGGCTATGTTTTGTCCCGCAAGATCTTCCTTCTCCTAGAGATTCCTCTTTCATCTCACTGGTGCCACTGAGGGTCAGGGAACAGCACTGTTCACCACCTCAGTGGGGATTTCTCCTCCTCTTCAGCACCAACACTGCAAGGTCTGGGGTTGCCCTAAGGGTAGATGCAACTTTCTTTACCATGGACATGGGGATTACTTTCTTTTCAATTTTGCCTGGAATAGCTAACAGGAAATCAGAAGAACAATGACAGTAGCAGCCACAATTTGTTGGGTCCTTCCTGTGAGCTAAGTGCTTGCTATAGGTCCTCTCCTTCCCTCCTGACTGCAGCCCATGCGTGGTTTTACAGAGGGGAAGCCGAAGTGCTAGTGGGTAGGGAACTTGCTCAAGGCCTCTGGGGGAGTCAATGAAGGTCTTTATGGCTGGGTTCCAGCTGTCTGGCTACCAGCTGAATTCCGA